TGATGGGTAAGCCTTCCTAGAAAGCGGGATATTAACACTATTAAGTAAAGAAATGCATCCTTGCACATCTGCTGCAGCCTCCCTCTGCCACTCCTACCCATTCAGCACAGAATGCAGGGTAGGTGCTGTTACCGCTGAGGATGATGGGGCTTTTCAGAGGTAGTGTTTGCTCAGCTCTCAGCTGCAGGGGGTGGTAGGAGGGACAGTCGGTGCTGGGGGAGAGCTCTCCGAACAAGAAGCCACCTTAGATTTTTGGAAAAGAAGCTGCTTTTGAATACAAAATTTAAGCTGATGGCTGGGTGCAGTGGTTCATGCCTGTAATCCCAACACTTTGGGAGGCCAAGACGGGAGGATCACTAGAGTCAGGAGTTTGAGACCAGCCTGGGCAACAGGATGAGACTTCATCTTTAAAAAAAAAAATACAAAAATTAGAATACAAAAATTAGCAGGACGTGGTGGCACACACCTGTAGTCACAGTTACTCAGGAGGCTAAAGTAGGAGGATCACTTGAGCCTGGAAGATCACTTGAGCTGTGATTGCACCACTGCACTCTAGCCTGGGTGACAGAGCCAGACCATCTCAAAACAAATAATAATTATTAATTAAAAAGAAAAAAGCTGAGCATGGTGGCATATGTCTGTAGTCCTAGCTACCTGAAAGACTGGCGTGAGAGAATCGCTTGAACCCAGGAGCTCAAGGCTGCAGTGGGCTATGACTGCCCACTGCACTCCAGCCTAAGTGACTGAGCAAGGCCCTCTTTTTTTTCTTTTTTTTTTTTTTTTTTTTTGACATGGAGTCTCACTATACAGCCCAGGCTGGAGTATAGTGGCGCGTGATCTTGGCTCAGTGCAACCTCCACCTCCCAGGCTCAAGCGATTCTCCCACCTCACCTCAGTCTCCCGAGTATCTGGGATTACAGGTGCACACCACCACACCTGGCTAATTTTTGTATTTTTATAGAGATAGGGTTTCACCATGTTGGCCAGGCTGGTCTCAAACTCCTGACCTCAAGTGATCTACCCATCTCGGCCTTCCAAAGTGCTGGGATTACAGGTGTAAGTCACTATACCTCGGCAAGGCCCTGTCTCTTTTAAAACTAAAAAAAGAAGGAAAATAAATATAAAGGAAAGTTCTAGTTAAAAAATAATTGAGGCCAGGCGCAGTGACTCACGCCTGTAATCACAGCACTTTGGGAGGCTGAGGCGGGTGGGTCACCTGAGGTCAGAAGTTTGAGACCACTCTGGTCAACATGGTGAAACTCTGTCTCCACTAAAAATACAAAAATTAGCTGGGCATGGTGGCGCACACCTGTAGTCCCAGCTACTCGGGAGGCTGAGGCAGGAGAATTGCTTGAACCTGGGAGGTGGCAGTTGCAGTAAGCCATGATCACGCCACTGCACTCCAGCCTGGGTGACAGAGCAAGACTCCGTCTCAAGAAAAAGCAAAATAAAATAAATTGAGGGCAGGCACAGTGGCTCACACCTGTAATTCCAACACTTTGGGAGGCCAAGGCAAGAGGATCACTTGAGGCCAGGAGTTCAAGACCAGCCTGGACAACATAGCAAGAACTGTCTCTAAAAAATATTAAAAATTAGCCTGTAGTTCCAGGTACGCAGGAGGCTGAGATGGGAGGATCACTTGAGTTTGGGAGGTTCAGGCTGCAGTGAGTTGTGACCACACTACTGCACTCAGCCTAGGCAACAGAGTGAGATCCTGTCTGGAAAGAAGGAGGGAAATAATTAAATGGTTTAGAATATTTTTAATGTACAGAATCAGGATTCCAGTAAATCATCATGGGTTCTTTAACTCACTAGAATGTACTATAGATGTACTATAGAATTTAAAAGGTGGGATTAGCCCAGGCAACCATTCTTCCATTCAACATGTATTTTATTGAGTACGCCTGTTCATCACCACCAAATGATCTCATCACCTTTGAACCTCAGAGACCAAAGGACCAGTTCAGTCCCCAGAAGGAAACCAGGCTAAGTGCTATTTCTCTTCCATGAGTGGAGTCCCAGCACCAAGGTGAGGTGTGGGGTCTATCCCAGCCTAAGTCTCTCCTGAAGAAACTGAGGCTGTGAGGGTTGAAGGGACCTGCCAAAATCCACAGCACGGAGCCAGGAGGAGGGAACACAGGGCTCTGAGTCACCATGCAGCGCTGTGCAAAGACATCGATACGGAATATATGCCACCTCAGATAACTGTACAGAACTTTCTAAACTCACTCTGGAAGATCCCTAGATCCTTACAAATTCTTGCAAAGTTTATGTCTTAAGCTTAAAACAACTCTTTTTTTTTTTTTTTTTTTTGAGACGGAGTCTCGCTGTGTCGCCCAGGCTGGAGTGCAGTGGCCGGATCTCAGCTCACTGCAAGCTCTGCCTCCCGGGTTTTTACGCCATTCTCCTGCCTCAGCCTCCCGAGTAGCCGGGACTACAGGCGCCCGCCACCTCGCCCGGCTAGTTTTTTGTACTTTTTAGTAGAGACGGGGTTTCACCGTGTTAGCCAGGATGGTCTCGAACTCCTGACCTCGTGATCCGCCCGTCTCGGCCTCCCAAAGTGCTGGGATTACAGGCTTGAGCCACCGCGCCCGGCCTAAAACAACTCTTAAAGTTGGAAACCTAAAATGTACTTCTAAGTTAAAAAACTAAAACTAAATCTGGCCTACTAGGGCTTAGCTTGTCAGAATGCCCTCCTTACACAAAGCCAAGGCTCAGGCTCTGGGCAAGGCTGGCCCTCAGGTGCCAATGGCGGGTCTTGAGTTTTGTTAGATCTGAGGCTCAACATTATCAGCTCACTTGGGTGAACAGGATCTGGAGTAACTGGGTCTACCCAATAAATTCTCAGAAACTAACTTATAAGTCAGGGCACCTGTTTATTAATTTACAAGGAGAAATGAATCCACTGAAAGAACCAGCAAACACAGACTCATGAAACAGTGGCCTCTACTTGGGGACCAAAGTAAATTTTATGACTATACCTTCTAGCTGTGTTCTCCATGCAAAACACTGAGCTCAGTATTACTCTGGAGAAAGTGCTAAGAAGTCTATGAAGGAAGAAAGGGAAGAACACTTAGTCACACTGAGCAGTACCCAGCATGTCTCTGCTACAGGTTTCAGGCATTTTCATTTATGCAAATTATTTAATCCTTATGACTAAACCACAAGGTGGGTTTTATCTAATAAAACAAAACTCCCTCTGAACAAAGATGTTTAAAATATTATAAAAAGGCCTAGGTATCCTTAAGGCTAACATTCAGCACATCTCATGAGTATTCACATGCGCCAGACACTGGAGCTGTAGGAGCCACCGTCCCTGCCCCCAGGGAACCCCTAGTCTAAAGAGGGAGACAGACAAACTGCAACTGCACAGCCACATGAGGGCCCAGCAGGAATGAGGGAAAATGACTGGAAGAGGCACCAAACTCAGTGCCCGGGTCTGAGAAGACAGTGGACCTGGAGCGATGATTCTGTCCAGCTGGACAGTGAGAGGCTATAGTCCCAGAGTGACATCTGCCATCCCTCAGAAATCACACTGCCTAAGGTGCACATCAGAGGCACTACAACAAATCCCCTCCTACAAGCTCCATGACAAAGAACTCCTCTGTGGACACTCACATTGCAGCCCTGCCTATCTGAATTTCAACAAACTTCCAGCACTCCCTGCAGTGCCAGTTGACAGATTAGCATTTTTTTTTTTTTTTTTTTTTTTAGTGCTTTGGTGCTTACCAATGGAAAAAGGACCTTTCCTCAGTGCTAGAGAGGCCTAAATGATGAGTATGACACAGTCGGTGTGCACCCACATCTCAGGACACAGCTAATTTCTTTTTTTTTTTTTTTTTGAGATGCAGTTTCACTCTGTTGCCCAGGCTGGAGTGCAGTGTGCAATCTCGGCTGACTGCAACCTCCACCTCCCGGGTTCAAGTGATTCTCCTGCCTCAGCCTCCTGAGTAGCTGGGATTACAGGCGTGCGCCACCACACCTGGCAATTTTTTTTTTTTTTTTTTTTTGAGACGGAGTCTTGCTCTGTCGCCCAGGCTGGGGTGCAGTGGCCAGATCTTAGCTCACTGCAAGCTCCACCTCCCCCGTTTACGCCATTCTCCTGCCTCAGCCTCCCGAGTAGCTGGGACTACAGGCGCCCGCCACCTTGCCCGGCTAGTTTTTTGTATTTTTTAGTAGAGACGGGGTTTCACCGTGTTAGCCAGGATGGTCTCGATCTCCTGACCTCGTGATCCGCCCATCTCGGCCTCCCAGTGCTGGGATTACAGGCTTGAGCCACCGAGCCCAGCCAAATTTTTTGAATTTTTAGTAGAGACGGGGTTTCACCGTGTTAGCCAGGATGGTCTTGATCCCCTGACCTCCTGATCCGTCCACCTCAACCTCCCAAAGTGCTGGGATTACAGGCGTAAGCCACTGCATCCAGCCGACAGAGCGAATTTCAAGGGGAACCATAGCTCTGCCCACTACTGCCTGTTTGCTTCAGTGAGAAAAACACAGGCACCTTAGTGCCCACAGGAGGCCACACTGGGGGTGGCCAGGATCCATGCTGGTGGGGTCTTAAGCAGCACCCCACTCATGTTGCAGGTCTCGTGGATGGAATTCCAGTTTTGGGTGCTCTCTTGCTTGACCATCTCCCTATATAATTTTTCAAGCAAGCTCTTGGGTCCCAACTGACCACAAATCCATAGGAAAATTACTTCTCCCTGGAAGATGTAAAACCTGTGGCTTCTTCCTTGAGTCAAGATGGATGAATGCAACAACCTATACACCCCACCTGGAAGAGACAGCGCTTCTCCTCCATACACGCCCCTTGCCACAGGGTCTCAGATCAGGAAGCCAACAAATGAACCCTCCACCCCATCCTCCCAAAGCAGGGGTCATGGAGACCGGGCCACCCTAGCTCACAATGGGCAAGCCCTGGGAAGCAGCCATGAAAGCCACCCACAAGGGACTCACACCATCATTCTAAACGGCGCTTTCCACACTGGACTTGCACCTACCTCATTCTCCATGGAATACCCCGTGTGAAATTCTGTTTGAGGAATTTCTTTGGAGAGATTCTGGTTCCTTCTCCTCTGCCGACAGCTACTATGCATTCTCTATTCACTTCTGAATTTGTTGAAAAATATGGCCAGATGTTAGCCCTCCCTCTGAAAAAAACATGACTGAACAGGAAGACCAGAAACCACAGCTTCCTTCTGCAAAGCCACTGAAGCTGTTTACAATGTTTTAAAAGTTCAAAAAGCAGGCAGCACCCAGAAACTGTTGGCAAAATCCAAACAGTCTGCATGTACAAAAAGACACAAAGTAAATCAGCTCATTTTCCCTACTCCCCACAGCACGCGAACCCCACAGGCAGCCTCCCTGCATTTCCAGCAGAAACTCTGCAGTCAACAGAAGGACATTAATTTGAAAGTCCACCATTCTGCACATTCGAATGCCAAAGCTAAACAAGCAGACAGAAAGCACTGTGAGGGGCTACCCTTTCCTGGAGACAACAGGCCGTGCTGCTGGTGAAGACCCACGGTACCCGCCTCATACGAAGGGTGGAAACACGCGACAAGGCTGTTCCAGCCACCCTGTTTGCAGTGCTTGCTCAAAGGCAGCAAGATCTTTACAGAGATAACTCCATTCCCAGATGGGGCTTGGGCAGGGTACACTGGGCTCTACGGGTCCTCAGCCTACAAGTGCCTCTACCTGCCTCCAGGACTCATGAGTTTGAGTCAGCAGCACTTTGAAACTAAACAGGGCGCCCGCCTCTGGGCAACCTCACTTCTTTAAGGCAAATTTCCTAATCTAGAAAAGCAGAAGTTGGATCTGTTGCTGGTGAAGGCTCTTAGAACTCCGAAAATTCCAGAATGGTTTGCCAATAGGGAAGGCTACTTAATTAAATATTCTGGTTGGCCGGGTGCAGTGGCTCATGTCTGCTATAATCCCAGCACTTTAGGAGGCCGAGGCAGGTGAATCACCTGAGGTAAGAAGTTCAAGACCAGTCTGGCCAACACGGTGAAACCCCGTTTCTACTAAAAATAGAAAAACTAGCTGGGCGTGGTGGTGGGCGCCTGTTATCCCAGCTACTTGGGAGGCTGAGGCAGGAGAATCACTTGAACCTGGGAGGTAGAGGTTGCAGTGAGCCAAGCCATTGCACTCCAGCCTGGGTGACAGAGTGAGACTCCATCTCAAAAAAAAAAAAAAAAAATTCTGGTTAGAGTGACTATATTCACCGATCAATAAATAAACATAACAATTATAATTTTTTTTTTTTTTTTTTTGAGACGGAGTCTCGCTCTGTCGCCCAGGCTGGAGTGCAGTGGCGCGATCGACTCACTGCAAGCTCCGCCTCCCGGGTTCACGCCATTCTCCTGCCTCAGCCTCCCGAGTAGCTGGGACTACAGGCGCCGCCACCTCGCCCGGCCAGTTTTTTGTATTTTTAGTAAAGACGAGGTTTCACCGTGTTAGCCAGAATGGTCTCGATCTCCTGACCTCGTGATCCGCCCGTCTCGGCCTCCCAAAGTGCTGGGATTACAGGCTTGAGCCACCGTGCCCGGCCTATAATTTTTTAAATATTAAGTTGAACCAAATCAAAGTGTTGATTTTCAACAGTGTTCTAGCTATAAAAATGGTACTTTCGTATGGTTCTATTTCATTAACCTGTAACAAATAAAGTTTAATATTTCTTGATTCTGAAAAGACTGTTTCAGAATAATAATTTAGTGCTTCAATTATTATTCCATATACCACAGATGTAGAAACTGTCATAAAGTTGGAAAAGCAGCATTAGAACTAGATTCGAATCAATATCCAGTATTAACTGGACTGTCACTTTCTGTCTTTAAAAACCAGAGTAGAGTCACAATTTCAGACTGCTCCTTTCTAAAAGTTGCCTATACAGGGCAGAACCAGTTGACCCTGACCTTCAGGCAGGCTCAAAGGGAAAAAGCAAACCAGGAGTGAGATACAGAAAGAGGTGCCACTCAGCTCAGCAGCCTCACCTCTATTTTGGCTACTGCAAAGGGGAAGGGTTACAGGGAAACAAACATGACTAAAAAGAAAACCCACATGCTCTGAACACTAGTCAACCCCAACCTTCCCTCACACTGTGATCCCCACGGCCAGCATGATAGAGAAAAGCCAAAGAGCAAAGGGGAAGAGACAGGCACAGGAACCTACATTCTAGCTAGTATACTTAGAGACACTTGAGAAGAACTGCATTCATAAAATAAGACTAGACAGCCATGAAAAAGAAAAAACGGCCGGGCGTGGTGGTTCACGCCTGTAATCCCAGCACTCTGGAAGGCTGAGGTGGGCAGATCACCTGAGGTCGGGAGTTCGAGACCAGCCTGACCAACATGGAGAAATCCCGTCTCTACTAAAAACACAAAATTAGCCGGGCATGATGGCACATGCCTGTAATCCTAGCTATTCGGGAGGCTGAAGCATGAGAATCACCTGAACCCAGAAGGTGGAGGCTGAGGTGAGCCAAGATCGTGCCACTGCACTCCAGCGTGGGCAACAAGAGTGAAACTCCGTCTCAAAAAAAAAGAAAAAGAGAGAACAGAGAACAAGAAAGATATCTTAGAAATTACAAATATGACTGCCAAAATAAAAAATTCATAGAATAATAACAAGGACATAGCTGAGAGCCCAAAGAATTACACGAAGGAGAACTGTGGGGTTGGCCAATGCCTGCCTGCTGCTGATGGCCACAGCTGCAAATGTTTTACAGATGAACATTTGCCACCAATTCGATAAACGTAATCACCAACTTTGAACCCTGATTAAGCAAAATGTTAGCCCCCAAAAAGAATTCCATTCTCAGTAGTAGAACCACATTACAAAAAATTGTACTCAATTATTATGCCTTAAATTTCATCAATAAAAAATGTATGAAAATGTGCTTTCTCTCTTATATAAGTACCTACTTAATGGCCTCAATTTTGCCCCTTGGCTCACACAGCCTAAAATATTTATTATCTGGTCCTTTACATGAAGTTTGCCAACCCTGTCCTAGAACAAAGCGAAAAGGCAAAAAGTTTAATGTGAGAAAAATTAAAGGCCACAGAAGCCGGGTCCATCAAGTCTAACAGTTTCTTTTTTTTTTTTTTTTGAGACGGAGTCTCGCTCTGTTGCCCAGGCTGGAGTACAGTGGCAGGATCTTAGCTCACTGCAAGCTCCGCCTCCCGGGTTTATGCCATTCTCCTGCCTCAGCCTCCAGAGTAGCTGGGACTACAGGCGCCCGCCACCTCGCCCGGCTAGTTTTTTTTTTTTTGTATTTTTTAGTGGAGACGAGGTTTCACCATGTTAGCCAGGATGGTCTCGATCTCCTGACCTCGTGATCCGCCCGTCTCGGCCTCCCAAAGTGCTGGGATTACAGGCTTGAGCCACCGCGCCCGGCCCAAGTCTAACAGTTTCTTAAAAGGAGAATAAAAGCGGGCAGAATCAGAGGGACACAAATATCAGAAGACAACAATGATGAACTCAATTTTATGGACAGAAAAAGCACAGTAACAAGTAGGCTGAATGTAAGAGACAAATCCTAAACACTTAGACTCATCTTCATAAAACTGCAGAATTTCAAGAGAATCTTAAAAGTTTCCAATAAGAAAATGCAAAAAAAAAAAAAAAAGTACCTTTAAAAGCAGTAAGACTCAGATCAGCATCAGATGTATCACGATAAATGGGAATATGGTAATCCCTTTAAAATTCTGTGGGGAAATTAATTTAAATCTGGAAGTTAATTTAAAACCAAACTGTCAGTCAAGGTGCAAAATTGTTAGTTTCACACCTGCAGTGCCTTGGGAACTTTACACCCTAAAAACCCCCTTTTGAAAAACATACTAGAGGATATACTCCCAGCAAAGGGAGGATGATCCAAGAGAGGAAAAGATGTGGACTCCAAGAAATGGTGGAACCAACCCAGGAAGCAGAGAAAAGAAATCCCAGGGTGACAATGACAGTGTTCAGCAAGCAAACAAAGGAAAATCTAGAAGATTCCATTATATAAACCAAGAGCCTAGAAGTTCTTGATGATAAAAACATGTTTCTTGGGCCTTGACTAAGGGCTGGCCTCGACATGCAGAGATGAAACTCCACAAAGCCTATAGGTAATCATTTAATGTTTGACTGATTGCTGAATGGTGATGCCAGAAGTTATCACCAGCTGAAGAGGCTTTGCTGAACATTATAATCAGCTGAAGAGACTTTGCTGAACTGGCTACTCAGTAGAAATCCAAAAAGTCCACACTTTAGGTGTAAGGAAAACACCCAGAACTAAATTCAAAACTGATACAGAGGCTGGGCGCGGTGGTTCATGCCTATAATCCCAGCACTTTGGGAGGCCGAGGTGGGAGGATCACCTGAGATCGGGAGTTCGAGACCAGCCTGACCAGCATGGAGAAACCCCGACTCTACTAAAAATACAAAATTAGCCAGGCATGGTGGCACATGCCTGTCATCCCAGCTACTAGGGAGGCTAAGGCAGAAGAATTGCTTGAACCTGGGAGGCGGAGGTTGCGATGAGCCGAGATTGCGCCATTGCACTCCAGCCTGGGCAACAAGAGCGAAACTCCATCTCAAAAAAAAAAAAAAAAAAAAAAAAAAACTGATACACAGCTATCAAAATAATGACTAAATAAAGATGCACAGAACAAAAAAAAAAAAGATGTCCCAGTAATCTCACTGCCTGCCATAATAAAACTGAACCTCATTCATAATAACAAGGCATTCTCTAGAAAAAGGCTGAGTAAACTCTACCACACAGGCAAGCCCCGTTTTTGTAAATAAATTGGGGGGTTTTTTGGTGTTTTTTTGTTGTTGTTAGTTTTGTCTTTTGAGACGGAGTCTCACTCTCTCGCCCAGGCTGGAGTGCAGTGGCACAATCTCGGCTCACTGCAACCTCCACCTCCCAGGTTTAAGCCATACTCCTGCCTCAGGCTTCCAAGTAACAGGGATTACAGATGCGCGCCACCATACCTGGCTAATTTTTGTATTTTTAGTACAGACGGGGTTTCGCCATGTTAGCCAGGCTGGTCTCGAACTCCTGACCTCAGGTGATCCACCCACCTCGGCCTCCCAAAGTGCTGGGATTACAGGCGTGAGCCACCTCGCTCAGCCGTAAATAAAGTTTTATTAGAACATTTAAAAAAAGAAG